TCCGAACAGTGGAGCACGAAGAGTTTATCAAGATGATTAAAATGCTAAGACCAGGATATGTTCCACCTAAAAGACATCAAATTGGAGAGTCTCTTTTGGATCAAGCCTACGATATAGTGATTAAGAATTATTCAGAAGAACTTAGTGGGAAAACAGTTTGCATGGCCATGGATGGATGGAGTAATGTCCTTAATGAGCCTATAGTATGCATAACTTTAACAGCGGACAATCGTATTTATTTTGTTGACTCTATAGACACAGGATCAAGACTTACAGCTGAATATCTGTTGAAATTAGCTGAATGTGCTACAAAAAAGTGTGAAGACAAATTCGGATGCACAGTAAGAAGCTGTGTAACAGATAATGCTGCTAATATGGCAAAAATGAGAAGAGAATTCGGACAAGATAAATCCATTATAACATATGGTTGCTCTGCACACCTGTTAAATTTGCTTTCACAAGACCTGCAAATCAAGAACATTAAGGAACACATTACTGAAATCATTAAGTACTTCAGAAATCATCACATCCCAGGATCTTTGTATAGAAGAGCAGGAGGAACAATGCTAGTAATGCCATCACACACACACGATGGAACACCGTGACAGATTCTACTGAATCTTATTTAAAGAACTGGGAGACCCTTGTCAAAGTGTGCAAAGAAAATAGTGAAGACATTGATAAGAAAATTGAAAGGAAAGTTAATGATAAGGCATTAAAAAGAACTGCAGAAGACTATTTAGAGAGACTTAAGCCTATTGCTGTGGCATTGGACTGTGTCCAGAGAGAACATACCCTATTAAGTGATGCTGTAGAAATCTGGGTAAAACTGATATTAAGGAGTATTTAAGATAAGAAGAATATGGATAATTTTGAAAAAAGAATCAAAGTAGCATTTTCTAGCTAATGTGATAGATCCAAGGTATCAGGGCAGGGATCTGACTCCTGAGCAGCGAGACATTGCAGAACAGTATGTGTGCGAGTCTCTTCCACATTTCTTTTCAACATTAATGTTCTTCCATGGAAGAAGTGCACCATTTAAAGTGGTCTATTTTGGTAAGATGTTGTACAATCTCTCTCACCCCTTGCTTGGTGGCAGTATTTTGCCAATGATATGACAAAATGTAATGGATGTTCCTCGGCAATTATTTACAGCTGTTGCATCATCAGCAGGGGTTGAGAGAATTTTTTCCACATATGGATTTGTACACTCAAAGGTAAGAATTCGCCTAGGACAGGAAAAGGCATTTAAGCTTGTCACAGTACATAAGCATTTTAATGTTCAACTAAGCTAATTTAAATGTTTTGAACTATTTTTATTGTTTACAGAATGAGAATATTGTGTTGACTTGAAGTTATTACTGGTAATTCTTAACACACTATAATCCTAAAAATGTAAGAAAATAAACTTGTTACCAGTATTATTTTTTTTACAAAATGAGAATTTTATTGTTGACTTGAAGAAGTTAAGTTATTAATTTTTGAAACACTGTAATCCTATAAGAGCATTTATGTTAAATTTCATTATTACATTTGGATTTGTGCACTCAAATGTAAGATATGTTACCAGTTTTCTTTTATTTTACAAAAAGAATATTATTGTGTTAAATTCCATTGGTACACGTACTACATAAATATCTTAATGCCAATTTTCTGTTTATTATCCTGAATAAGCTTTGGTTGAAAAATACTGTTTTTATGGATTAAAAATACTATTTTAATGCAATTAGTAAAAAAATAAAAAAAATCGATTTAAATCAAATATAGATTTTTTTTTATTTAAAAAAAAAATCATGATTTTTTCCAACCCTGAATTAATTTATCAATAGCACAGAAACTGGAGTTATTACAAAAGCTTGATCGTGGTGTGCCTGTGCGGCGTCTAAATAAAGAATATGGTGTGGGAACTACCACCGTATATGACTTAAAGAAACAGAAAGACAAGTTGTTGAAGTTTTACACTGACAGTGATGACCATAAACTAATGGTAAAATAGGAAAAAATTACATCGGGCAAAAAATGAAGATCTTGACCGTGTGCTGACTAAGTGGATTCGACAACGAAGAAGTGTACGTATGCCACTGACTGATTTGATGGTCATGAAACAAGCTAGAATATCCCATGAAGAACTGGACACTGATGGTGAGTGTGAATATTCAGAGGGTTCATTGCAGAAATATTAATGTGTTTGCTTATGGGATGCTGCCACAGACACCGCTTGGGTGTTACCATAATATATGATACGATATATGTATCGTACTAAAGTTCTGAAATCCGAAAAATTCCGAAACACATGTGGCCCCAAGGGTTTCGGATAAAGGATTGTGAACCTGTACTGTGTTTGTCTTAAGCAACCGTTTTTGCATTCTCTTCCTTGCCAGAGTCAGGATGGCATATAATGTATAGGCAGCCAAAGTTTGTAACACACTTATGATATTATAACAACATTCGTAATATATTATGTTAACTTGTGATCATATAATAATACATTTTCATATGCTACTAGTCATGTTTTCAGTTACTTAGGACTTAATGGTACTATGTTTTTGGTTGATTATGCCACTCTTTGATAACACTTCTTTGATGGTATACAATTTATAACAAACCGCTCAGAAAAAAATGACACCTTAGTTTTTCTTAATCTACAGGTTACAATGATTAATATAATGTGTGGAGCCAAAAATTAACATTAAATTTTTATTGGACTACATAAGCTCCTACATACAGTGGTCCCTCGGTTAACGAGCACAATCCGTTCCAGCAGGTTGCTCGTTAACCGAAAAACTTGTTAACCGAAACCATTGTTTCAATGGGTTTTTGGGCAATTGGTTCCAGCTTACCGAAAATTGCCTAAATTCAACAAAAAAGGTAGAAAAGTACACTTACTTTGAGGTGTGTATGTAGAAGGCTCCTGGATGATGATGGGAATTAGAATGGGGGATGGAGGAGAAGGGAGAAGAGAAGGCATTGGGGTGGAAGAGAAGTCACCCCATGGTGCCATTTCACCCATAAAATTTTAGTTCTCTTGGTGTAATTCAAGATTATTTTCTTTTAAATCAACATTGCACTGCATTATATATTGTCAATATGTAAAATAAATTTCAAAATGACCAATTGCTTGCAAACACAGAAAAACAGAGTTTAGTTGAAGAGAGTCTCAAGCAAGATGTTGCCTCCACTGAAAAGACAGAGAGAATGGCACCTGTTTGGTGTGTTGCCAGGCTGGATGGTGTGCATGAAACTAGTTTCCTTACCTTCAATTATGTTCAATAATTGTTAAAATGACTAAAAAATTTAATATTATACTTTTAAAAATATTGAATAGTATAAACTTCTTTATATTTACTAAAATAGTAAGGAATTTAAGCCCGAAAACTGATTACTGTATTGGCGGACTAATACTACAGCTGGTGGACCGCCAAATGCAAGCGAAAACATGTTGAGGTCGACTCGTAAAAAACTTGTTAATCGAGGGATTGCTCGTTAACTGAAGTTAAGAATCTTACGGAAGGTAAATTGTTAACCGAAATCTCGTAACCGAGGCGCTCGTTAACCGAGGGATCACTGTATAACGATTTGCTTTTTGGTAACAATGTAACAATATGTAACACAGAAATGGGGAGAACGTAATATCTCTACCTTTACCAATTGTGTATCTGTCGGGATGACAGTTACCATGAATATACGTAACAACCTTCCTGGGTTGTCACCACTTGTAACAGCCACTTGAGAAGCACATTAAATTATATTTTAGACATACAAAAATACAGGTATAGATAAAAGTGTATTGGATCTTCTGCAGTGAAATCTAATATGTTCCTTTGTTTGTATTTATTATAAAGAGTTTCTAAGTATACTTTCAAAAAGGATTATCAAGGGTAACTTTACCATTGTAGCTATGAATGTTAAATGAGGAAGGAGGCTATTTTAAATAACTCTGCTAAGTACGTCCTGTCGATTTGATAGTTGAGTGAGGACTTCTCGAGGGAGAACGGAAATATATGAGTCGTCCTCCCTTGAGGAAGACGGGTCACCTCAACGATGACTCTAAATAACGTGTTCCTCTATTGAGTGATATCTACTACTGCCCGCAATAGGTGGCCAGAGAGCCGGCTACTTAATGCTTAACTCAGCGCCAAGTGACGCGACTTCTCGTTGTTCCAGCCCTTATCAATCAGTATTATATAAATATGGGCTAAGGGCATATATTCATTATATACATTCTATCACCTAGACTATTGAGCATACAGCTACATAAGCATTTGTTCTGTCACACCTCCGAGGGTGGACAGCACATAAACATTTGTAGTTTCACACACACTCAGGTTACAACCCATAAATATATGTCCCCAGGCCTCCGTGAGAGTAGGCCTGTGGAGTGTAGCCTCATATCTGTGTTGAAGTATTGATTACATACCCCCTTACAAGTGGACAGAGAGAGGTTCGCCTAGTTCACAAATTCACACAGTTCACCAGTTCACAGTCAGACACCGTACCAAAGAGACGTGTGTGAGCATAGCTCCCAAGGCTGTATCTCTCTCAAATTATATAAGCTAATTACAAGCTAATAGCTAATGCTCAGTAGTCTGTCAACAAACAATTCTGTAACTACCAGAGCATCCAATATAACTAGAAAATCACCACGTGTGTTTACATTAAACCAAGGAACCACAAATGAAGATAACAGAACCTGTGTATACACTTGTGTATACTTACACGCTAAGATAATTACAAGTTTAACCCAGGGCGGCTGGGACGACTCAACGACTCAAATCTACCTGTACCAAAGGTGACATGCCGTGAGACTACCTATTATCTCACCCAGCTTCATCAAAGGTACCAGCAACTACTCAATACTCATTCAGGCAAGTGTTAGCAAGTGAGATCGCTTGATATCAAAACCTGGCCCAAACACCGAGGGCACACCTTATCACGTGCTCTGAACATGCTACTTCATAGCTAGTGGAAAGTTACAGGGGGTGATATTTATACAAGTCTAATGTAAGTAACCCATTTATATAAATACTTCTGCCTAAAGACGGGCAAATACATCGCTCGGTCACACCTTCCAAGATCCGCGAGGAATAAACTTATCCTGCCGAAAAACCCTATACATATACCTAACCATGTTACATGCATATGTATGTAAACACTAAACTGGGGAAGCTGACACCTGCGGATGAACAGCTACTCAAGCCCTAGTCTGATATGCCTTATGGGATGTATATTATTTACAATGGCAAAATTGGAAGATGCTGACTTACAAAACAAAAATATTACTGCCAATATCAACACAATACAGTAAGTGAAAAATATTAACTTGGGTATAGCATATCCCGTAATAACACAGCAGAAATAAATCTTGCCTATATCGTGTTTAAGAACGCTGCTTCTTACCAATGTACAACTTTTGGATCATTGAACAATATTATTATACCCCATACATAAAATAACATTACTATAACATTCTATTATAATGGAAAGTTTATTTGGGGATCCTGTGCTATACTTCTTTAGTTTATAAACTGTAATTATCACTGTACATATTACTGTAATCACTGTACAATGTAAAAAACAAACTACATCACTGCATCTTTGTGACATCTGTAATGACAGATAATATTTTATGAATAAGAAGTTTTGCTGTTTCATCACTTAAATGGTGTGTATCATAACTTATGCTGTAAATGCAATAACCTAGAAATTGCATAATTATGTGCATGTTAGTGTAAGCAAAACTATGAATAAAATTGTAACACACCCATCTAGTTACCTGTACATGCTCAGAATTCTCATACAGGTGGCTTGGGACAACGCCGAGGTAGTTGAGCGTGTAATCATGAAGGACTGGTGATGGATTAATGAAAGGGTCATCTGGAGATGCTATAGGATGGTCCATATTCTTAACCATCACTTGCTCCAGGGCCAGTTCTGAATTTAAACTCCATCCGAGTTCATGGTGAAGTTTCTTGGAATAATCCCAAAAGTTAGATTTTATATTTTTATCAACATGTGAAGAATGTGATAGGCAGACATTCAAGAGGCCTAATTGATATTTCATTTCTGTTTTCTGGTTACCAAGTTTGAGTAAATGATAAGTTGAAACAGTGCAGGTTTCATGCACCTTGCCTGCCTCATTTGCCAGTTCCACAATTGCTGTGTTGACAGCAGCAGTTAAAGCACTGTAGATGCTTACTCCAGCTTTTTTGGCCTTCTCATGGAACTGTTTTATCACCAGTGGTTCTATATTATGACTGACGAACCTTGTAGTACGCTTTATTGCGGTGGGTCTTGGGAAAGTTTCAAAAAGTAGTGGCACTGTGTCAGCCGATGGCATACTTTTTCTCACCTCATCAATACGTTTTGTATTTTTTCTTAAATTCTCTCTCACATTTTTCCTTAAAATTTGGATTTCATCTCTGTCAGTAAATACGCTGCATGGACTGTCATCCACTGGCTGACCAGCAATTATATCATTGAGTATATCCACCAAGCATTTCAACATGAAGTTACAATCCATACCGTTATACAGGGCATGGTGGGCTGTAAATACAAAATCACACTGATGGGGAAAGGAATGTTGGAGCTCAGGTAAAGGGCATGGAATGTGAGCCCTCCGTGGTATAAATATTGCTTTCCACTGAACTGGGTCACAGTAAGTAAACTGTTCCTTACCCACTTTGCTCATCACCTCAAGGAGGTTATCATCATCAGCAAGCATCTGCAAAATGAACAGTTTTTAGAAGACCAATTACATATTTACTACAACAAAGGTTTTAAAGCAGCATAATACATCATATAATAATAATTAATGACTTTATGGAATGAAGGTCATGGTACATAATGGAGCAGGTTATTAAAGTAGTACACTAGAACCTCACTAATTCAAATTACTGTAAGTAATGGCCAATTTGTCCATTTTTCACATGGGTGGAAATAATTTTTTTTAACAGTTACGGCCACTTGTACGAATGATTCAAAGTTTGTAGTTAATCAGGTTGAAACAGGCGATTTCCCTTTGTGTGGACCTACTAGGGTACTTTCCATATACCTACCTGCTACCAATACAAATCTTAGTCTTTCTTTTTTCCATTCCAATTCTAGTGATATAGTAACCCCTCGATAACTCAGCATTTGATAACTCGGCATTTCATATAACTCGGCAGGATATGGTCTCGGAATGTATTAGTATAATTTGGGAAATGCCGATATATATAAAATTATCTGGGAAACTCTCGGCATATCTGGCCACCTGCATCACCTACCATGCCTCTGTGTCACCTACCATGCCTGTGTCACCTACCATACCTCTGTGTCACCTACCATACCTCTGTGTCACCTACTATGCATCTGTGTATCCTACTATGATGCTTCATTCTTTGCCTGCAGCACTGGTAAGTGCTACTTTTATACATTTAGTAATTACATGTACACATATACGAGTCAATAATTCTTTAGTGTTGTATTTTTGTAGGAGGGGGTAGTGCCTCGATAAGTCAGAATTTGGGATACTGTATCTCGGCAAGGCCAGATGTGCCGAGTTGTTGAGGGTTTACTGGATATCATTACAGTCTAGCCACTATCTACTAAATTTTTATAAAAGATTGTGATTTTAAAGAATATTAACTCGGTAACCATTAGTGCTGCAATAGCACAAACCATATGGTACTTTTCTGATACAGCCAGCCTAGCAAGATGGTAACATACAGTACAGTAGTGTAAGCACAACTTCACAAGCCTATGACATCATGAGCCTACTAAAAGTCAAATATATTACAACATAACAACTGGTTGTATACTTAACTATAATGTTAATATCACCCCACATATACCATTTGTATATTAAGAAAAATACCCCTGCAATGTTTAAAATAATGTTTCATTAATACTGACTGTAACAGCTATTTGACCAAATGTTAGCATGTAAATTATGCATGGCACAAAAAAGGGTAACTGGCCACTCTCAGCAATTGTAGCTTTAATGTTACAAAAGTACAAATGTTACAGTGCATATTTTTTACAATTAATTAAATGTCTACTACATTTTTTGGTTACCCCCTAAAATAGTGTGAATCTTACTGCACTCGATCGTACAACTAGTCTACTAATGCTTGGATGTGTTTTCTAGATTTTCAATTACGTACCTTGCTGCCTACTGCTTTATAAATGTGTTTATTGTGACATGCTATTAAGGTAATGGATTCAGATGAATTAGAAGATGCATCATCTCATGCTTAACTACTACAGTACTGGCATAAAGTACTGTATTCACTTATGTTCTTCTGCTTCTCACATTTTTAAACACTGTTAGCTCAAACTTAAGCCAGGATGAACTGTTCACTTGAAAAGTGCCCCATCTGGTACATACAGTCCTGTGTTTTCTATTGGTGATTATCGTCTCAGCTTGGTTCTCTTGCAGTTGCAATACATGTCACCTCAGCTACAATAAACAAGTGTATTCAGTTGATTTGCATTCTACAGGTACAGTAATTCCATTGACAAGAACAGCGAGCCCACCCAGCTGAGGCCATTTTGAAGCTACGTGCACTTGATATTAGGAGAAATTCTGAGATCAATAGTAATTATTTTTTACTATACAAAAATGCCTGATTACAATACTGTACTGCATTACAGATAAAGTATTGGAATTTTCTGATGAAAAGGGGGTCCCAATCCCCAGGAAACCCCCCATCCACCCCGGATCTGCCCCTGTAATGCCATTACTGTACAAGTTTTATATCATGCAACCTTACAAATGTGTGTGCATAATAACTGGATTGTGCCTTCCAAGTCATTTTTGAGTTATCCAAAGTCGCCACAAGTCGAAAACAATTTTCACATACTGTACCTCCATTTAAGTCACATTTTCAAGTATACTGTATATGTATACTGTATACAGTACAGTCAGTTCTGCTATAACGCGATAGTTGTGTTCTTGTAAAACATTGTGTTATAGAAATTCGCGTAATAGAAATAACAGGGCTTATGGAGAAAATAGGGTTACCGGTAGGTGCAGATTACTCCAACTCGAAAATTTTTTTCGTAGTTAGCCTAACACAAAGGATAGCACAGTCTAAATAAATGTTACATTCATATCTAATAATGAAATCATATAGTAAATGTTACACTTTACCTTGAAAAAATATGAATATACCTTGATGGGGGAGAAGGTTGATGTTGAGGAGTCATGAAACATCAAGCTTTTCTTCAAGTGTTATAGCCTTTCTTTTACGATCACCAGAACGCTTCCCGGAGATATTCTTCTTTTCCATAGTCACAAAATTGGAGAAACAGTAATCAGAATTCACTGAGGACACTTAAAAACTTCACACGTGTTTCAAACAGTGTGGAGTAAACAGAGCGCGCGGGTCTAAAACGCTATGTATTTTGTTTTCCTCTCATTTAAAATTTTACAATTTACATATACTGTACAGGTATACTGTATACATAAATATTACACAAATTATTTCTGCAATTGTTCACAAACAAAACACATACAGTGGGGTATTCTATAACGAATCTAATTGGTTCTAGAACCTTGTTCGTTATAGCAATCGTTTGTTATAGGATTTATCCGTTCCAGGCCCCCAAATACAACCACTTAACACTGAAAAACATAATATAAAATTGTAAAAAAGTGCATAAATATGCATCTAAACCCCTGAAATAAAGAATATCATTAATATTTGTAATAATAAAACAATAAATTAGAAAAAAAAATAATAAAAAATTTAAATTATGTTTGTTGTAGGAGTATCGTTCATTATAGCATTCTCAATTTTATAGGTAAAACCGTTCGTTATAGGAATATTCGTAGAAGGATCCGTTCGTTATAGCATACCCCACTGTAAATCAATTGAACATGTGATGTCGAACGTGAACTGTAAACACTGCATAACCCCGCGCCAAGCTACAACACTGTACACCTCCGTATGACACACCCTACGGAGGCGAATTTTTTTTTTTTGAGTTAGAAAAATCGGCCCATGGTATTAATGATGTAGTTCTATGTGCAGAATCATGTGATATCTTCAGATTTGAAAAGTTTTCATTTTTTGCTAGGTAAATTTTAACTTGAAATCTTATGAAAATTCAGTATTCCCACCCTTTTACCAACACCACTAAATAGCTTATTTAAAGTAAAGTAAATGTATCAGGTTAGTTTATTAGGATGAAAATGATCCAGAATAGTGAAACGAATGATCTTGACACATTTATTAAATTTAATATTCCTTTAGAAAACAAAATCATCAAATACAAAAACCGGTTTTACTACTACGACCCGGTGTTGCTGCACACCATAGAGAACATGTCTTTCTTGCTTCTGTTTCTACTCATCACCTCCCTGCTGACCACCTGAGCTCGGATGTAGCCTTCCCTCCTCTCCTGGCTGTACACGTGACTGCTGGCCTCGCACTTGCTGTACACAACGCTCTATACTCTGGGTGTGCGAGGGCCAGGCAGGGACATGCATGGGGTTGTCCAGGAAAGCTCTGACTTGAACATTGGTGAGGCTGCAGGTAAGAGGGGGCTCACTGCCAGCCTGGATGTTATCCAGATCTATGAGATCAGTGAGGGTCTTGGCACCTAGATTGACTTCAGGAGTCTTCCTGACCCTGAAGGAATCGTCACCAACTGATTCGTCATGCCCAGATCCTCTCATAAGTCTCATATCCAAGATCTTTTTGACTGCCACTCTTCTCTCCTCCTCATCCTTACTGCAGAGCATTGTCTGCAGAACTGCCTTGGGATGAGCATACCAGGAAGATCTCCTCACAGTCTGCTCCACAATCTGAACAACCTTCCTTGGCTGACTCCTCAGGAGCTCAAGCTGGAAGAGAACATGCCTCGGACCTTCGGAGAACGATGACTTGACCTTGGTGTTGAACCAATTTGGCAAGTAGACACTCATGATGAATTGGACAATAAGTCTCAGGTTGTGAAGCTGGTTCCCTTTCAGTTTATGATGAGCGACCCAAATTCTGCAGAACCTGAGAGCCGTTGTGAGCCACCTAGAATGTGAGACTGAACCTATCTGCAGGTAAGCAAGTCTATCAGGCATGACCCCAGTTTTGATGGCACTGCAAATCATGTAACCATAGTACTGGTCAGTACTCAGGTCGTCAATGACAGTATGTGCAAGCTCAACGAGTGGAGGGCCAACTGTGATTTTTTCAAAGCTCGGATTTATTTCTAACTCAATGGCAGAGTTCAGCATCTTGCCAAGAGGACCAGACCATCTGTTGTTTGAAAGAGTCTTGCCATCCAGCTCCTGGATCAGATGTCTGAGTGGCAACTCGTTGGTGTGGAGGTCACAAACAATCCAGACCAGCTTCCTCCCAATCTTCCGCTCTATCCACTGTATGACCCCCCTTGCCACCCTGTGTTCGTGTTGGTGCTGTCCCCTCCAATGGCCTGCAGGGTCTGGTCTACGTTCCTCTCTCTGAGCCAGTTCACAATGTTATCTGCCACTATCTCAGCTGGTTTCCTGATGTCATCTTTCTCTGGAGTGAAATGCCACAAATACTTCCCTCCTGGTTCACTGCAGCAGGAGTAGTGTTCCTCCTTCACCATGGCAGGGAACAACTTGTCAGAATCTCCAACTTTCATGAACACTTTAGTGTCATCCCTTCTCCCATCAAAGAACAAACAATTGATTCCATTTTCTCTTATCCCCTTATCAAACTCCTCTTCTAGGTTACTGACAAGTTTCTCCTGAGCTCTCCTTACTTTGTTATTATCTATCACCAGGTGAACATCATCAGGTGTTATCAAACCACCGTCAATCCAGGCAGCTGTTGCTATCTCTGCAGTTTCTCTGAGACCAGTGTGGTGTCGCATGCTGGCCAGAGCTATGCTCAGGATATCTTTCCTATTTCGAATCTTATGCCTGGAAGGTTTGGGATCATTATTTTCTGGGTTAGGGACAAAGTCACCATTCTCCTGGTCAGCACTCGGATCAGCCATGGGGAAGTCATTAAACTCTGAATCAGCTTGACTCCAATCATCGGCCTTTTTTACCTCACCCTGGGCCTTCTCAAGTCTCTTTTCCTCGGCAACTCTTCTCCTCTTCTGTCTCTGTGGCAGTCTTCCTGTCTCTTCATGAGAGCTACATGAGTCTCTCTCTTACAAATGCCAGTTCGATCACAGGAATCTTCAGTTCACGCTTGCAAATACAGGAGATGTGGGCCTCGGATTTACAGTCACGATCGCATCCAAACTCAGGACAGAGAACAATTGGGCACTTGCAAGTAATTATGTCAAATAACTGGTCCAGTTGCTTGGCAAAGCTGTCCTTAACTGCAAGTTTTCCTCTCCCAAGAGAGATATCTCTTGCCTTTTCCCAACTGGCTAGCAGTCTCTCACTAATCTTCTTCTGACTTGTTATGACTGGAGGCTTGAACTGAGCGTTAGCCAGAGTGTACTGTGCCAAAACAGCTTTGGTCATATCACTGGCAATGTCTTTGTTTGTGTAAGTTCTTTGGTTCTTTTCACTGATTTGCCTGATTAAAACACCGTATCTCAAAGCATCTCTCAATGTAGGCAACTCCGACTTCAGGAGCTCTCTCCCAGACCCAAGATAGTGACTGAGATGGCTGGATTTTTGGTTCCTCGTCCTGACACAAGCAGCCATCGCAAATATTATCAACTTATAAATGCATCAGAATCTGAAACAGAAAAAATATTGTTAGTTGGGTTGTTAAAGAATGAAGTCAGAAAGCAATGTTCACTATTTAATTGTAATGCACTAATGCAGCTGTACGTTAGATTTTCGATAAATTTCACGCTAAAATTTACCTAGCAAAAGGTTGCAAAATATTGAAACTGAAATTATTTTCTGTTTATATACACTAAAATCTACCAAAAAAGTGATGGGCCATTAGTTTTAGCTGATCTTCCCTCCTATGACACACCCTACTGTACAGTACACTTTAAATGCTACGTATTTAGTTTTTCTTTTATTTAAATTTTTACAATTTACATATATATATATATAAGTAAATTGTAATTTACATATTCATATTATGCTACAGTGCCCACAAAACATAAGAAACGTTTGAGTCCCCCAGTAGAGATGTCCGTTCTCTATCCACTTCCGGATGTCTTAGTCTTCCGTTTTCTTTTTGTGTACTCGCTCAGGGACTCGAGTATTTCTGTATATAACACAGGATGATAAGGGAATTTGAAATTATGAGTGAATGAATTTATTATACAGTGATCAATTAACATAGTTTTGATGTGTTTAAGTAGTATTCAGGCGCCTTCAGCCTAGTAATGTTACGACATTCGTATCACTCACTGTAAACCAGGAATTCCACCCATACACAGAGAGAGAGAGGCCAAGCGCTCTGTTACATCACACACACACATTAATATTACATACCGTACATCTCGGCCTATTTTATAATCGCAGTCATGTATTGAATATTCTATGTAAAAAATAAAAATTTTAAATGAATTATTTATAGTGCGGTCGATTTCCTACACAAAGACGGGCTATAAATAGCCTTCTTATCTCCTCTCCATCTATTACCCTTTGTTCTCAAGAGAGAAGGTCTTGGTAAATAACTTTTGTTTGTTTATTTTCATTGTTTGTCTAATTTATCATGTTGTATCAAAGTAATATTACTAAAAATTTCAGGTAGCTACCAAACAGGGAGATACTACCGCCTGGGAGGATATTGGAAGCATAATGTACAGTATTGTCTAATGGTAGATCCTACTTCCATACGGCTGATCTATCTTTCTGCCTCATTTACTCAATGTAATGTACTCTAGTACTCTCCTGCCAGAGAAAGTTTTGCAACATTTGAAATTTGTAGAAAAAATGGATTTAGATTATTGACTTCTATTTATTACTTACACTTTAAATTAAGAAATGATAATCACATATGAAAACTACATAGTTAGGGTGACAATTGATAAAAAGAAAACGTTGCTTTTTCTGTAACTGTCTACAAGTTGTCACCTTTTCAACTTTTTTTCCAAATTATGTCTGAAATCACCTCACCTACGATACTGTAAACTGATATGAACCCCAACAAAACTGTTTTTCATAAGAACATTTGGCCACTACTCACTTGAATGTTCACAGATACCTGGGAAGGCTCACAGAACCACAAGGAGTCACCTCTTGGTCGCAAACACATCCGGAATGTAGGAATCCTTCTGTAATGTACAAATGAAACTTATACAAAACCCTTTATATGAATAAATAATGCAGGCAGAAACTGTCCCCAAAAGTTTTAGTAAAACATACGTACGTTATGTTGTGAACATGATCACTGAAGACAAAGCTACAAGATGCAAATAAAATTTTGAAGGTCAAATGTCATGAGAAAACCATTCATGGGCAATTTATTATAAGCTAAATATAGTTGAGGAATTGTACAGGTAGTGGCTGAAAAAGATGACTTAACAAATGCTGAAAAATATTTCCCATTTTAAGTTAAAGCTAACAATATCAACTTAAGAATACACATTATACAATACACCAAGCTATCTACAATCTAACTTCAAATGGCTTCCATCACAGAACTATAGTATACAGACGACCTCACATACATTGCTTACACCGAACCTGTAGCAGATCTTGAACTCCTACACAAATGTGTACTGTATGCAAATTCAGGTCTTGAAGTTATCATATGCAAGATGCAGATTATTTGAGTCTGCCCCTGCTTCAGCAACACCCCCACCATCCATCCAGGGTATGAAGGCCACTCCCACTAACACTGTCTACCATCACAGATATCGACAAAATGATCCTACATCAATACAAATGTGCTTCTCAGACCTTTGGCAGACTACAGTATTTTTGTATTATCTCTTTCTGATACCCACTATACGAGCATTAAGGGCCATATAGCCTACAACCTCTGTGGATGACCCTGTTCATCCCATATCAGTCTCTAAAGCCACTTTAGAATTCACCAAAGAAGGTAACATATATTATTTAAAATTCCCACCATGGAAAAACAACCATAAAACCACAACTTGGCCTAGTAGCCTGGTGGTTACAGGGACAAGTTTAAGCTGGCCATGTTAATCACTATTAAACGTTATTGTAACTTATGTACAGTACTCACACTTAATTAATGTAAATTTACAGTACTATATGTAACTGTAATCACTATTTATATCCTAGTACAGTAATGTACATTACAGTACAACACAGATCATATGCAAAAACAGCAATAAGGAAAAGAAAAACCTTGTACAATGGCAGTGAACTCCAGGCTTAGTGTGTCATGATGTTAGGGGTTGAGGAGATTGGATGAGGAGATGCATCAGTCAATCACATGAAAGAAATAACCAATTGCAGTGTGAGCTTATGGCCCAAGTTACCCAAGCAGCTAGCTCACCCACCCACCTGGCATGCGCCCCCATGTTGAAGCATGATACTATATCTTGGAAAATCATTTGAATCCCCAGAACGGAGAGATTTTCTCAGAATTTTGAGAAATGCGCAAGATGTAATCTCTCGGAAATGTGTTCGAATGTGCAGAATGGAGATATTTTTCCCTAAATTTCTCAGAATGCTAAAAATGAGATTCCGGGTATTGGAAAGTTCCGAGGGTCGAAGATTCTAGATAATGGAGAAATTACTGTACTAGCATTAGAAGCAAAAATTTTTGTACAAAATAAATAAATAAAGTAATTCTCATCATTCTCACATCTCTGATCAAAATCAGAATATAAGTCTGACTCCTTCCAGATGGTACAGTACCAACAGTCCCTGATTTAGAAAGGTCGGTTTTACAAAAACCGGATGTTAATTTTTTCCATTTTTTTATAATCGGAAAATGGTGAGGAGCTGACACAGGCATCATCACAGTACAGTATTTCCTGTAATGGACCTGGTCAGGTTATAAAGACAATTAAATTAATAACAACAGAGTATTTATTGCACTGTATTAAGAGTGGTTATCTAAACCAAAAATAAAATACACATATTGTAGTGTAATACAGTAGTTAGGTACCTAACGTGAATAACAGTATCAGTATGTGAAGCAGTGGCAAGACACTAACTCAAGTTATTTTGACTGTGGGAATGGTGATGTCTTCAGTAACCCAGAGTTTGATCTAATGTCACTGGAAAGAATACTTATACTGTAAAGGAATAAACTTGTCAATTCTTCTTCAGATAAAAATAAATTCAGTGAAAGCAAAACATTTCAAAATATATACTGTCGTATATTGCAGTAGACTTCCTGTGAGTGCGTCACTACCAAGATAAAACCACATTGTCTTGACTGGACCTTACAATTATTTTGTTCACCAAAAACTGCCATCAAAGTTATGTTTGCAGCATTTTAAGTTCTTTTTTTCATTTTTTTTTGTAGAAATGTATTTCAGTTATCTAGTTTTCCTTTACTCTAATTACTTAAATCCCCCTCTCCCCCTCCCCCAAAAATATTGTTTTTCTTGATTTCCTCAACTATGGGCCCATGGACAAGCAGAAGAGTGAGACCCAAGAAGGCACAAAAAGGTAGTGGTTTTGCAGTAACTGCAGTAGTGAGACCTAAATGAAATATTAAAACTACTTGTTTCTTACATTTACTTTCAACCAAATATAAAATAGATTATCATAAGTCGTGAGGTGTTGGCATTTATAAAAACAGAAACCACCTGAAACAAACCACCTGAAACAATGTCCAGTCTTGACATTACATAAAATCTTCAATCCTTGAACAATTTCACACAACAAAAATACCTTCAGAATAGATTCAGTCAAGCAGTGGGGATCATTCTCTCTGTCCTTCCTGTCAGGTTACTGTGGCTCTCAGACTTGAAACTGACTTGAACCTTGAGCTCCTTGGACTTGAAATTGGCATTTAAACTAGGCACTTGAACCTAGTCTTGAACGGGGACGTAATCCTGCTCTCAGCAGGTAATCTATGTATTATTCTCCATTGGTCTTTCCAAATGGACATAATCATTTGCCTCCCCCTCAAATACATGTAAAGCCAAAATGACTTGCTTTTCTCCATGTCTGGTCTCACTGCCTCCCTCGTTTCACTGTTCCCTAAACTGACAAACACTCTTACACCTTCCATGACGGGAAGCACCAGTGGACATGACTGATGCTTCCCCTGTACATTGTACAGGATGAATAGCGAATCAACTACCTACTCTCAACAAATCCTTGAAAAATATGAACATCTCATATTACATACTTTGACTCTTCAATACTACTGACCATTTAACCCATTTATGGTTATGCACGTAAACAGTGCCATACCTTGCACTGGTTAATGTCTCTCTGACTTAAGACACAGTTAATGGGTAACTGAGCAGACAACAGCTTAGGATAGGTCACAGCTTAAGCAGTTCTTTATCTGGCATCTTAGGTTGTCACAATATCTAAGAGACTGATGGTCATCATGACAAAGCGGATTTGCTGGCATCATCTGACAAGACAACCAATTAACTTGCTGCTGGTACACAACGAGGAATCAATGTCATCATTATTGACAAAACAATGCAGTGTCGTGTCAGGTCAGGTCAAATCAGGTTATGTACAGCCCACATTTACAAACAAGTCACTTCAGTGCTCTAGATGTCTCCATCATGAAAAGACAACTTCTGGTTTGGATTTAATCCTTTACCTATTTGGGTGGCCTAAGTGAGGTGCTGGGAAGGTTAAATAGAATTGCCTGCACTCCTGTAAGTGGCTTGGTACAGTCGTTACTTCTCTCCCTTTCTGGGTGATGGTTGAAGTGAGAAGAGGTTTGACTAATATTAGGATTACTCAGGTCCTGTACTCAGCAACATTGATGGGCAGTCGTCCATTGATACAAATTTAACAAAAGCCCAATATAGCCCATAAGTGTTGGGGTTTGTAAAAAATCTGAGTTTTTATTTTTCTGTAGGAAACCTTTTTCCTTTATTACTGATGGATCAGATATGGCTGGAGAGAAAGCTGCTTCAGTAACATCTGTCATTAATTCATGGGCAAAATTATGAATGGTTCAGTCATGAGAATTATCAAGACCTGCAATTGTATGCCATCTGTGTAACCTCATTATAATAAAACACGATTGTATCAAGGGAAAACATTTTGGTGTCTGGTTGGGTCAGAGGATTAATGCGGTAATTTTTCTGAGATCAGACAGGAAGGTGCAGTATGTGAGGTCTGAGTAGGTGAGGTCAGTAACCCCTTAGGTTTCGGGAGGTGCTCTCCTGCAAGACACTCATGATCTGGCCTCTTACTCACCTCACCGCAATTGACTGCGCCAAACAAGAGATAATTGTATGTAATGATTCATAGCAAGCTTACTATTTGAGATTAAAAGGTGGTATTTGTTGCATGAGCATTGTAAATAAATAACTGTATCTACAAACACGTTTATATAGGTAATCACGATAAAATAATTATTTCTATACGTAAAGTGCTAGTAGAACACAAATTTTTTTGTTTACGCTTAATGAAAATGTTATAAATCACTTTATATAATATCTTCGTTATTTCATGTGATTGCAATATGAACTTTATTCATTATAAAGTGTACATATTTAGGATAAAATAGTTATAGAAGAAAAGTTGTGAAAACAATAATATTTCACTAGGGAGAGGCATCAAGAGGCATTACACTATCACCACATGGTGCAATCTCCTTGCAATTTTCACGTTTTCCCACCCCTCCACCCTCACTAGCAACACGAGGCATGGTTTAAAGCTCTCACAACACTGTTATGAATATGAATAAATGAAATAACTGTGATGCACGAGAGATCAGCACAAGCAGCAAGAAAATGCCTGAGAAATGTAAGTCAACGTTATGTCCTGGGTCCTTTAAGCACACAAGGGAGACTGGTGACCTTGGTGGGTAGTCTACATTGTTGTCAGATTGTGCTGACATTACCAAATGTGCATCTTGTGTGTCGTGCATTCAGGTGCAAACATTAAATTAATTTATTTAAATTTTTAACTTCATATGCAACGTGAAGGCAACAGGTCACTGTATCATGATGTTCTTAATTGTTGTTTTTTCTTGATGGGTAAAGTGTTAGATGGTGATGATGAGGATACAAGTGTGCATCAGTGTGAAGAAGCAAAGTTAACCCCTTTATTATTGGATGCCACTTTTAACATTTTATTTGGCTAAGGCCACACAATTTTATTCAGTACAGAGACAAGTGGTTAAGGGGTGTTGGCGGTACAGCAGTAGAGCGTGCTTGCCTTTCACCACTGCGATCATAGGTCCAATTCTCTGGTGATATTCAGTGTGACCTTACGGAATACCACAGGTTTCCTATATGTACTCCAGTTTCCTCCTGTACTAACACTGTACAACAAAGGTCGTAACAAAGAAATAATAGACCAACCTCCCAAGTGACTATTAAGCTGATAAAAAGTGGCAATTATAAATAAGTAAATCTGACATAGCAAGATCTAAGAGACATACCGCTGTAAATGATGGAAAGCCTCTTTCAGGTAGTGCAGCTGCAATGGCTTAGTAGTGTTAAGTGTTACAGCCACTATGCCTTTCCTGGTACCATGCCTGTGACCAGCATCAAAACTAATACTATCCTCATCTGCCGGCCACAGCCACCTCACACTATCATCACACATCCATCTGTAAATTGATAAAGTTAATATTTGATCAGATCGCAAAATTTCCACAAAAAGTTTTTGAAGTTTTACTTATGTTGAACTTAAAATTAATGCCTTTATATATGTTATACATAATATAAAGGAGAACAGAACAAATTGCTTTTCTTGTACAATATTACCTTATGTGGTGTTTGAAGGTTGGACGTAGTTGTGTAGAATGAGGGTATATACTACTGGAGGTGAGAACCCTTACAGATGGGACACATAAACAGTGAAGCAGAGAGGATAATGAGGAACCCTGCAGCAGGTGTGAGGTGCACCTCACTGCCTGAGCCATGGCCATGATACCAAAAGTAAGTTATCTGTAAGTGATAAAACAAAGTTTAGTCCTATTCTGGCAGATGCTTTGTCATATACTTACTATACAAAATACATTTTTGTGTTTGTGTAGCTTCATAGACAGCTAACACTTCCCCCACTCACATACTGTACTTCCTTATTCTGTTCCAATAACCTGCCCTTGGTCTCTCTCTATTTTTTATCTACTGTCCACACCTTTTACATTTTCTCTATTTTCTCATGTGTTCCTTATTTTATTTGTGCTTTAAATGTCGACATATATTTTTTTTTACCAATTACTGACGCCCCCCAGGTTAAGAACCACTGCTCTAGCATATCTCGGGGACCAGGAGGGGTGACAGTACTCCTGGTGGTGAAGCACCTCACACATGAAGATCGTTACGAAGGATATCTGTATGACCTTAACAGACCTACTAGTTTAGCTACTGCTTGATTCACCATCTGGAGGTAGTGCTATTCTCAGAAATTACCAGAAAAAAAAAGAATACTTTACACTGTAGTGTTCCAACAGAAATTTATGTACCTATATTTTAATTTTTTACTTTCCGATTTCATTTAAAAATCAGATTTTGATGACACAAAGTGGCCAGGACTTTCAAGTAGCGGGATATGGTTGGGTAAAACCGAGCAAAATGCTGACAAAAATAGCAGGAAAAATATGCCTAATACCAAAACAATTGATCATCAAGAACCTAACTTCTCTCAAATATCGGCGTACATGTCTAAACTATCCTAACCAGAGAAACCCTGTATTTAAACCTTACTTAACCCAACAAGTAAAAAAAAAAATAATTATTATCGTTTTGGTCATCCAGCGAATTTTAGTAGGTTAGGTTATGTTAGATTTGGGGTGAATTTATAGTAAAGCACTGGTCTGTCTCTCACTGTTATTAATATATACGGTAATATCTCCGTTAGCCGGAATCCTTCAAACCCGGAAATCTCCGATAGCCGGAATTGAAATTTGCTCGGAAAATCATTCCCAAAGCTGGAATTTTCTGAAAATGTCTTGAATAAAGATGAAAGTTAAAGTATTTTTTCTTTGGCAGGGGGAGGGGGGGGGGTGTGATCTAGGTGATCTGACTTGACTCAATGTCAGGTGCAGGTAGGGTGGGTGATTAGTGTTCTCATATTACTGACCTTCTTATGGAATGTCAGGTCACCTTTTCTTGGAAAGGAGATTAGTGGGTCTCATGACCTGAAGATGTCTTGAATAAATTTGACCCCATCCTAATACGACTTATTCAAGGTAATTCTTAAAGTATGAGGACAAGATTAACAGATTTCTTCGTAAACTTTAAAACAAGAATGTCATTAATGATTCCTCCTTTTTAAAACTCTTTGTTAGCGGGACTAAACCAGGTATCCTGTACGGTCTACCAAAGGTACACAAGGACGAGTGTCCCTTATGCCCTATATTGACCGCCCTCGGCACCTTCACCTATAATTTGTCTAAATTTCTCGTGCCCATATTCCCACCAATAACCTAAGATTAATACTCTGTAAAAGACTTTTAGTTTTGTTAAGGAACTAATCAGCAGCTCATTCAACAACTGTGTTACGGCTACCTTTGATATACAGTCTCTATTTACAGTAATATCTCCGTTAGCTGGAATCCCTCAAACCCAGAACTCTCCAATAGCCGGAATTGAAATTTTCCGAGGGGCACATTTTGGGGAAAATTATGCGAAAATTTTCCGGGTTCCCGGAAAATTCCGGGGATGGGGGAGTTTTTTCCCGGGTTGGAGAGATGAAAATCGGGCACATTTTCTGGAAATTCCGGAAAAAAAATTCCGTTACCCAGAAAATTCCAGGAATGAGGGATTTTCCCGCTTTGAGACAGTCGTCTCGTTACCCAGAAGGGCTCTGCACCAATTGTTCCGGCTAATGGAGATATTACTGTACAGTATTTCATAATGTTCAGACATTTCTAGGACATTTTTCTTCTATGATATTTCTGCCGAAAAATTGAGGATAACCGAGATATTAATTTTCCAATATTATTATACAGTGTATTTGATCAGTCACATGTTACCTCTGTGCTCGCGTCTAGGGCACATGTGAGGGGGTGGTGTGGGAATTCCTTATTGGCTATAGCGAGAGGAGACTTATTATTCGGCAAGATTTTTTTGTCTTAGCCAATGGACAATGCGTGGGTGCATCGGGAGCGGAGATTGGAATTTTCAGTACCAGATATGGCTGAACCGGTTGAAGAGCTGTGCCGACATTTGATAAAAGATTATTTTACGTCAATTGCCGAGTTTTATCGGAAAAATAGTAAGGCCCCTGGTTAGGTTAAGTTGGTTGGTTGGCTTTTATTGTTTTGTTTTTTTTTTACACAGAAAAAAATGGGTAGGTTAAGTTAGGTTACATTTCTTTCTGTATTAGAAATATGTTTTTTCCTATGGTTTTTTGATGAGTTTTGAACGATTTTTGCTCTGTTCTCCATTGAAAATCACCTGTTTCTGTGATTTACCCAACAAAAAGCTCCAATTATCCAACATCTTCCCTTAAGATAGTTGTAGGGGAAGGGGATCTCATAAGAGTGATTTCCACCGAAAATGAATATCAAATTCGCTCGAAACTCAACAAAAACCATAGGAAAAACATATTTTAAAAATCAAAAGAAAGAACAGTGCATTTCTATAAATTTACTAGGTTAGGTTAGGTTCCAAATAGGTGGATGACTGAAACGATAATTTTACCAAACACAAAGGAACCTAATGAACCAACCAAACCTGAAATCAAGTCAGAAAAACACGAAAAATATAAATATCTGACAAAAACGCTCTAAAATAAGGCATCGTATTCTTATTTTGCTCTATCTCCATATATACAAATTAATATACAGCTCCGTGGTTAACCTTTTTTTTATCTTAATTCCAAACTGATGACTTTACTTAACCTAATCGTCCAAGTAGGAGGTCAAAATCGCATAAAACAGAAGATCGTTTGACAGGATGACACCTACAGTAAAGTACCTTATCATGAGAGCCATACTATATTTAAGAACATAAGAAAATTAGGAGTCTGCAATAGGCTGGTTGGCACTGTGCATGGCAGCTCCTGTCGAGAATTACTACCACTCTCTATCATCTATCCAGCCTCCGCAAACTTGCTTATGTCACTGCTGATCCCAGTATCTAGATCGTTTATGTAGATTATGAACAAGAGTGGGCCTAGTACTAACCCCTGAGGAACCCCACTCAGATTTAACACCATCTACCCTGACCCTCTGCTGAGCCATGATTTTATCTAATTTAAAACTTTCCCCTCGATACCATGAGCCATAATTTTTCTCTGATGTGGTACTCTGTCAAATGCTTTGTTTAAGTCTAAGTAAATAATATCGAAATTTTCGTCATTATCTACTACCTCGAAGACTTTCCTAAAAAATATCAGCAGATTTGTTAGACAAGATTTTCCCTTTGTAAACCCATGCCTCGGGCCATTTTATACTGTAGTTACTCACGGTTTAATATATACGTGTGTATGATGAACCAATGTGAGCTTGTGCACGGTCATGGTGGCTACAGGGTTACTACAGCTGCCTCCTGAATCCTAAGTCATAGAAGGGTTGCCAGATGTACGACAAGCTTCACGGCCAGGACTAGGGAAGGGAAGCACAAGGCTATTTTTGCAATCCACACAAAATAAAAGTATCCCCTACAATATCCTCTTAAAATGTCGCAATAAAACCAAATAATTACATAAACATAACATCTATAATCTACAGTGAAGATTTACCTTAATCTGAAATGGTGGTGGAGCATGATAATGGTGGTGGAGCATGATAATGGTGGTGAACTTGATGACACTAGTTGACGTAAGCAAAAACGTCTAGTTCGTCATCGTCCCCTGGTTTGTTATATTTTCTACCACTGTCGTAGGACCCTTTCCATTTACTAGTGGAGATTTTGAAAACTAGCACTCGGAATTTCAGAAAGTAACTTAGATGGCTTTGTAAGCTCTGAAGCTTAACCCATATGCAGGACACGTTCAGCGTGAACAACTCAAATATGAGAACTAGCTCAGTAGGTCACGTAAACATGTGAAGAGGTGAAGAGCAGACACAATATAATGAGGTCGCTCACCAGCACAACCGCAGGAGCAAACCTTCATGTGCTCAAAGCCTACTACACGGCCGCCATCAGATCGCTGGTAGATTACAGTGCTCCAGCACTCATTGGACTGAGAGAAGACCAGATAGCTAAGCTAGAAGTCATCCAAAATAATGCTCTCAGGACCATGCTCGGAGCACCCATGTGGACCAGAATTTGCAATTTGCAAATGGAAACTGAACTACCACCCCTGGCAGTACGAGTCAAGCAGGTGACAGCCGGTCTCCTCGCCAAAATCTGTAGATCAGATAAGCCCACAGCTGCCAAAATTCGAATCAGTGCCTCCCTCCACCTCGACCACAGAGTGCGAGGGGCCACCTGGTCGCACGAGGCAAGCGAGGTCATCTGACACTTGCAAGCAGAAACACTCGTCAAGAACAACCAAGACACACGAGACAATGGTTACGTTGTTCCTCCACCATGGAGCCCTCCACCAGCCACATTCAAAATTACCGACCTAGGTGATAGCAAAGCCAACCTCCAGAAGGAGGACCTCAAAAAAATAACTCTGGAAGCCATAGCCACCGAGACACCGGCTGATGCAGCATCATACTTCACAGGCGGCTCGGTGGATCCAAAACATCATACATCCGGAGCGGCCTTCTACACCCAAGGTCAGACCCTCCGATGGAGACTCTCAAATGACTGCTCCACCCTACAAACAGAGCTGGTAGCAATCTCAAAGGCCCTACAACACGCTGCAACACAACACAACAAGTCCATCATAATTCACACGGACTCGAAATCGGCCATGCAGGCGCTGCAACACAGTCAACCAAGAGACAACGTCCACATCATAACCTCGATCCTCGCACAGCTACAGGAACTCCAAAGACAAAACCGCCCAGTCGTCTTACACTGAATTCCCAGTCATGTAGGGATCGGGGAAAACGACGTGGCTGACGAAGCAGCCAAGGCAGCCACACGTTCTAGTAGCGTACACATTCAAGTTCCAGCAAGTGTGCAACAGATCAAGAATCACCTCAGAAAGACTAGCAAGCTCCACATCAAAAAGAGCTTCCTTCACGCTTTCAACGCTGGTTCCCAATCAGCCAAATGGTACCTGGCGGCTACAAAAGGGGAACCACCTTTCGCGGACAAGAAAACACCAAGACAAACCCAAGTCAGCCTTCATCGACTACGACTAGGGTACAAGTGCTCCTGGCAGATGATCGGAAATGACGTCATGGAATGCACCTACTGTCAGGAGCCAGCAGCCAACCCACTTGAACACTCTCTCCTCGACTTCGAAGTCACACAAGACCTCCGAAACAGAACTCAAAACTTCCAAGAAGCACACACAACACCAGCGGCCACTCTAACCCGAAAGGCCCAAACAAACCACATTCACCACCTTCTCCGGGTCATCACACGATACCCACCACCTAGATAGCTCAGAAAGTATCCTCTCCCAGCAAGTGCGGACCCCAGTTCAGGGGGCGCGCCACTCCGAAACTGACCACGTCCAAGAGTGGGGGTTGGTGGTAAGCGTCCACCAGGAGCTCCAGCCGGAACCATCGAACGGGCCGCCTATAGGCAAAGGCCCGTGTCGGTCTACGGTCCGACAATCTCAACAACAACAACAACGGTGACCTACCTCTCTCCTCTTCTAGCTTCAGCCGCAGCAAGCTACACCACCTCCTCCGCCGCTGCCTGGCGACCCACAAGCTGGTCCTCCTCTGAGCACCCTCACCAACCAGCTCTCTCTACTCAACCCTTGTAACCACGTTGCCACTTCCCAGCACCAAGCTGCATCGTACATCCAATACAACATGCATACAGAGAGCACATTGTGAGTTTCCTTTCTCCATCCCATCCTGAGTGTGAACCAAACAAATACCACCGTACCCCACAGTACGCTTTGTTTTCTTTGTTCAGTAGTTGAATTGAAACATTTTATTTTGCCAGAAAAATACAAATACAGAGTGGATAATAATAACAATATTAACATGGCTGAGCCATACATACACATACACACACACACACATACATATGAATTACAGTGGAATTGAAAAACATAAGTATAATGGGGGAGCAGTACAACCTGGGTTGTGCAGTATTGTTTTTGTTTTGTTTAATTGTTTTCAGCACATATGCAGTTAAATTGTAGTCTCGACATTTTAATGCTCAGTGGGACTATAAGAAGGAATCTATTAAAGGCCCTACCTTTGAGAACATCATTCTTACTTGCATTATTCTAAAAATACTTTGTTCCGCCTGGCAACAGTCAGCCGCCTGGGTAAATAATGATATAAGAATCATTTTATGCCATAACGGGAATGCTTATTTATGGAGATACGACCCGTTTAATACGAGCAAAGACAACGATTTCCTATTGCACCCATCTTTGGTCATCCTCTCTAAACTTCCCTCTCATGGTTTCTCTCCCCCACTTTGGTCTCTAATCTCTAACTTCCTCGAGAACCGATCCCTGGCAGTTGTTGACGAGGGATCGACCTCTCGCTCGTCCTCTACCAACAGTGGTGTCCCACAGGGTTCTGTTCTTTCACCTACTCTCTTCCTTCTTTTTATCAATGATTTTCTCCACACTACAACTAATTCTATCCATTCTTACGCTGATGATTCTACTCTTCACTCTTCTTCACATTTTCCCGTTCCACCTAACTCTCAAACTAGATCTGTTTCTAGAGCTGATATCATTACTTCTATCAATGCGGATCTGTGTAGCATCTCTGAATGGGGAGGTACAAACTTGGTTAAATTCAATAGTAATAAAACTCAGTATTTACCAAATACATTTTCTAAATTAGATGATCTCTCACCAATTACATTTCATGACGCTATCATTCTGCCAACTAAAGCTGCCTCCCGAAAGCTGGGAATGCTGTACAGATGCCGTAGCTACTTCACTCCTGAGCAGTTGCTTCAAGTATATAAGGGATTCATTCGTCCTAACTTGGAGTACTGCTCTCATATCTGGGGTGGCTCTTCTTCTGTCCAACTGGGTGGAATCAAAGGCATTTCGTCTTATTAACTCTTCTCCTTTAGTCGACAATCTCTCTTCCCTTTCTCTTCACCGCACTGTTGCTTCACTCTCTCTCGTTTACAAGTACTTTAACGGGCAATGTTCGGTGGATTTGGCATCCTGTGTACCGCCGGCAAGGCCGTGGGCTCGTAACACACGCCTTGCTTGCAGTGCCCACCGTTTGTCTGTGGATGTCGGTCACACTAGAATAGCCCGTTATAGTACATCCTTTTTTCATCACACAGCCAAACTGTGGAATGCTCTGCCTTCTTCTGTGTTTCCATACATATACAATCTGTCTCACCTTAAAAGGCTGGTTTTCCGGCATCTTCGTGGTGTAGATTAACACAGTATAACCCTTTCTTCTCTATATTAATTTCTTTCTGTTCTTATTTTTTCGCCCCCAGGCCCCGTTGTGGGTCGTTCGACCTGTACCAGGGTGGGCTAATTCCCGCAAAAAAATAAGAATAAAATAAATACAAATAAAACCTCTGTGATGTGTACATTGAAATCCCCTAGGTAGAGGATCTCGGTGTTGGGGTGTGTGGATAGCAACGACTCATGGCAAGAAGTGGGATAGTCAAAGAGTTCTAAATAGTTGGTAGAGTTGAGAGAATAGTATAGGGAACAAAGGAAAATAGTCATAGTTGGTAGAGATATTTTGAGCCAGATGACATCATAAAGAGAAGATTCAAGATCCGTAAGTTGAACTATAGGTGTATGTGTGTTGCAGTAGGCGCATACACCTTTTAGAATGACAATGGAAAGATCATAGATTTGCCAGACAAGGACGCCCTCTTGTGAAGCCATGCTAGTGATCATTGATCAACTTGTGTTTTTAGAGGTGGTTTCGAGTTGAGCTTGAAATTATTGCTTCCAGCAATTCAATTTAAAAAAGTTGGGACTGACTCACTTTCTACTACAATTGGTATAAATCTATGGTTAGCCCCACAAATTTTGAACATTGCCCGAAAAATAATCCTGGTCGGTTAACCATAAATCTAATTTGGTTAAGACGTCCAGGAATTGCATCTGCTTTTACTCCAAGGGCTGGTACAGTATAGTTAGAGGATAGTATCTATCTCCCTTCTTGAAAAGCGGTATCACATTCACTATCCTCCAGGACCCGTTTTTAATGACGTTTAACACTAACTGCCCTTGACAACCACTCACTGCCAACCCTCCTACTCTCCCTGCACTGAGGCAGATAATGGGTTTGTTTCCATTACCAAACATGATATTGTCCATCCCGTCTACTGCGTTACCCATCTCAGCTTAGAGAAAACACACTATTGTCCTCTTATTTCTGCCTTTATTATAGAAGGCACGCTCCAAGTACCTTACTTGCGACTCAGCAACAATTAAAGTTTTCCTATCTTCTTTGCCCGCCTTATCCTTAACTATCTTACCGTCCATTTCGTCCTCCAAAGGACTAAAAGAGTTTGTACACTTAGCTATTTTGGCTTTCTTCAGCACCAGCCTTGTCGGCCCTCTCTTCACCACCTTCCACTAGTCTGTGCCGTCGTCTTTCACAGACTCTCCCAGTCTCAACATCTTCCTCTTTCAGCCTCGCAATCACTTCACTGGAAATTGAGCTAATCTTTCCCAGATAGTGTGGTTGGCAGACACACCTATCAAATGTCAATGGCTCAACTCATGAAGAATATTTTCTTTGATCAGTCTATGTATCATACTGTATTTGGAAAGTCGATTTGATGCTGAAACTAAGCAAAATTTTAACCTGTATTCTCTTCACCAATTATAAACGGCAAGGCTTACAAGAGAAGAGTTCACTGACCAGATCGCAAAGATTATTAATACACGGAGGAGATGTGGAGATATAGACAAAGAGAGTAATTAATATATAAACACAGCGATATAAAAATGTTGGAATATAGACAAATTGAGGAAATATAAACACGAAGTTAATAAAATTCACATATATTTCTCGCGTAAAAGCCTTATACAAGTTACAGTGGTAATTATCATACAGTTAACGTATGTGCTATCTGAGCGCACTGTACCATACTCATCAGTCAGCTGAGAATCTGACATACGTTACTAATGGCAACCATGTCATCGTAGTTGTGCATTGTGATTGGTTCATGGACTGATGACGTAGTATGGGGAACAGCGGAGGGACCTATGTGATTGGTGCTTAGGCTGATGACGTACAATGACGAGAACATGGCGGGAACTTTTGAAAAGAGAGAATAAAGAGAGGCGTTGAGAAACGGAGAAAGAGATATAAGAATGTTATAGAGGTGGGCAGGCGCACAATCCGCAGTCATATGAGTTGTGGTGCAAGTCCAACCCATACAAGAGCGGGTTGTTCCATCCATCCGAGGTTAGATTACGGCAAAACTAATAAAGACTCTGAACAAAACACTATTAAGAATCAAAAGGGTTAAAAAGATCTGAACAATGGACTGAGGTAACCTTGACCTAAGAGGGAACCAGCTAAAGACATGGGTCAAGCTGGGCCTCAGGTGCGCAGAGTTCATCTCTTAGCGTACGCGCACGTTCCCTCCTTCCTCGCCCAGTACTCAGTAACTATACACGGAGTTCCCAATACAGGAGCAATATACAATGTAGTGAATTTGACACAAAACTGAATACATACATCTAGTTCACGTATTTGCAGAAAACTTTGATATGATGGTAATTCTTTCTCGCCTCAGACACATCTCTTCCATATCAACAGGTTTGCTATAATCTAATAATTGTATTAATAATAATAAATCATCTCATAGGAAAAATACATGTAGCACAGAAGCGAACATGCACACAGTCACTATAACACGATGAAAATGCTTGCTCTAGGGCCGACTCAGCCAGAGTACACTGGCTGAGTGGCCGTGGAGTTCGTCAGTCACGTGAGTTCTCGCAGATCACGAGACTCACGCAACTGTGGCGGCCACGTGGTCCAATCTGCCGAAATACACACCACTTAGAAGAAACATAAACAAACTTATAATGAATTTCTATAATGCTTCTGACTCGATTTTAGACGTGAAAAACTAAAGGGAGGTTCAGCTACTATAGTATATCCAGGTGTTACTGCATCTCAGGTATTAAAATAATGACAAAACCTCTCAAATTATGTCTCAATGTCTGGGACTGGACTGGTGTAGTCTTGGCAAGGTATTACTAACCTTATGGGGAGGAGAGGGCAAGTCACAGGTCGTCGGCGGTGTGGACGTTGAGGGAGAAGGCAGCGGTGGTGTCACCCTTCTTGGACGTGGCCTTAACCACGTACTGACCCACGTCCGTCGGCAGGCAGCTGGGGATTTCGTAAGAGAACTCCTTCTTGCTTTCCTGTTGGAACTTGAAGCGTGTCGAGGTCTCATCCACAGGCTTGCCATCCTTGATCCATGACACCTTGAGCGGATCCTTCTCGAACTTGACGCTGAAGGCGGCTGACTTACCCTCCATCACCGTCTGAGACCTGGGGAACTTCTTGAAGGCCGGCTGCTTCTTCTCCTCTCCTGGGACTGTGGGGGGAGGAAGGTCATGTTGACGACTGACTCACGGGGTAGAGGTGGTAAACAATATTGGCACTGACAGACAGACAGGCAGACTGAATGAATGTTATGTATAAAGCGGAGAAATATAAGATATGACGTGCTAAAAGTAGAACATATGAATAATTGAAGTATTCAAGAGGCCAAATGTGGCAGTAACTACAGAAGCATGTGATCCTGAAGGTGTTCACTTACTTATGACGGCCAGAGTACAGGTGCTGAAGGTCTCGCCTATGTCGTTGAAGGCTTCGCAGGTATAGGTTCCGGCATCCTCGGGGAAGACCTCAGCGATCTTGAGCAGATAGGTGTTTCCCTCGGTCACGTACAGGAAGTCTTTGGAAGGCTTGATCTCCTTCTCGTTGTGGAGCCATACTACGTCGAACTTACTGGCGCCGCCAATCTTGCAGGAGAGCGTGTGGGCTGTGCCGTCTTGAACCTCTTGTGACTTGAGGTGCTCGGAGATTCTGGGCAGCTTGTCACCCCGGCCGCCTTTACCGTTAATCTGTTGCTCCATCGGGGTTATGCTGAGAGTACACTTTGTCTCGGCGGAGCCCAGGGAGCTGGTGGCCTTACATACGTACAATCCCTCGTCTTCTGGGAACACTTCGTTAATACTGAGGGACGCTAGACCCTGACGGTACTTGAGATCGATAATATCGGAGGAGCTAATAGGCTCACCGTTCTTGAACCAGGAGACTTGTGGTTCTGGGTCACCCTTAACGGTGCACTTGAGGCATAAGGCTTCACCATCCTTGATGGACAGAGTAGGAGGAAGCTCGCCAGAGAAGCCAGGAGGACCCATGAGAGAGTCATCTGGAGGCACTGTAAGGGGGAGAGGCAGGCAGAGTCAACCTAGGTTACTTTAATACATCAACTATAAAAATGTTGTCATCTCTTAGCTTAACTCCCAGGTACGCTGGGCGGAACAGGTGTAGAGCTATCACATGACTGTGACTTTTAGCACGAGAGTCATTCTGGTTTTGGCGGTAGGGGTCAACTCCCTATCACAGTCACTTAATTTGATTAAAAAATAATACTGAGGGTGGTTGTTCGTTATGTACCGACTCAGGAGCCTGTTAGAAGTACTCCGTTCACTGACAATATAGCGCCTGGTCCAGCAACACTTATGTTTTAGATTACATATAACCAATAAAGATTTATTAATTAATAAACCGAGTCTTGCCATCCTGTGTTATGTAGTTTTTAGTATAAATTATATCTATTTTGTATTTATAAAAAACATGTAACGATCAGAAACTATTTCACTGATGCACGGTCTACAGATATTGTTCTGGCTCTCCCCTGTCCTGCTCCGTCCCTCTAAAAAAATATATTTATTTTCATAAACAAATAAATCAACATAATATGCAATATTACATTCAGACATCTGGATTAATCACGTACATTCCAGTTCTATTGTAATCCAGTTTCATCCCTTTGTATAGATATATCTCTTGTAATGTCTTAATTGTTAACCTAGTTATGTGTTTAGAGACCATAGTTGTTGAAGTGCAGTAAAATCATTATAATATTAAAATTACTTCATAATTTATTTATTGTCGTCCTAGATAACTCTGACAGTCTAAGAATCATTTCACTAGCAACTCGCATCTGGCACACTACTGACGCTGCAGATAAGAGCTCTCATCACTGTGACTTACACTCGAGTTCCTTGGTGGCTGAGCGTGACCTGGAGGTGGTGCCCGTGGAATCTTGCCTCTTGCCGTAGGGTTTGAGTGTTCTCTTGGCCCCGGAGGTGGTGCTGCTGCTGGCGGCGGCGGTGGTGGAGGAGGAGGAGGAGGTCGCTTCCACCTTGGTGCTGCTGCGACCGTCCTGACGGACCGAGGAACTACTGGTAACAGCGATGGTCGCGGCCGACTGGTGTGGTGATGGGAATGGAGGTGGTGGAGATGATGGTGATGGTGTGGGTCGTGGTGTGGTGGTGTTAGTGTATGGTAGTGTGGTGGTGGTGTGTGGTGGTGTGGTGGTGGTGTGGTGGTGGTGTGGTGGTGGTGTGGTGGTGGTGGTGTGGATGGTGTGGAAGTGTGTGTGGTGGTGTGGTGTGGTGGTGTTGGTGTGTGGTGGTGTGTGGAAGAGTGTGGTGTTAGTGGTGGCGTTGTGGTGCAGCATTAGTTTTATCAATGGTGGTGAGCCAACCCATAGAGGGGACCACCAGGAGATTAGTTGCAGCAGTAGCAGTATTGCGCCGATGGTGGTGATGGTGGTGGTGGTGGTGATGGTAGTAGTGGTAGTAAGAGTGAGTGAGAAAGAGAGGGTGGAGAAGAGAAAGTACTTGTTACCTCCACATTAGATTGTTAAGTAATTGCATTTTTATTAGTAAAGACGTGTTTAATTGAAAGCATCAAGAAGAAAAAAAATCTTTGGTAAATTATTTTAATATTGTAAGCATCAAGAAGTACGTTTGATTAAATAATATTAAGTTATAAGCCAAACATGATGATAATGATTCATAATCTTTTAAATGCCCTTAAGAAAGAAAAATAATTAACCAACTTATATAATAATATGATAAAAACCTTCTAGAATCATCTTTAACTCACATCTACAGTGAACCTCAATCATTAATAATCTCTATAAAAAAAGGACAAATTGTGTTCCTAGCATAAGAGACTAGACTCGGAATCTCTATAAAAAAAGGACAAATTGTGTTCCTAGCATAAGGGACTAGACTCGGAATCTCTATAAAAAAAGGACAAATTGTGTTCCTAGCATAAGAGACTAGACTCGGAATCTCTATAAAAAAAGGACAAATTGAGTTCCTAGCATAAGAGACTTGACTCGGCAGGTTAACAAACGACACCAGTCACAGTAGCCCCTTTTAACTTATTAACTCTCGGCGATTCAAGTGTCCATAAGCAAATTCAATAACAAATTATATTCTAACTTCTCATCATCCATGGAGAAATAAAATATCATGGTGTTTTGATATGTATATTATGAGAATTGTATTGTTACACCAAACAGCGGGTGTGTTTACATCTTAGGAGCGACTTGGCCACTAGAGGCGCGCTGATCGTGTCTTACTGGGAAATTTGCCAAGTGGGGTCTCTTATTTTAGTAACTCATTAATATAACTAAATCTATAAGATCCATTGAGGTCAGTTTTGATTGAACATGGTCCAGTGTGTCCAAACATGGTCCAGTGTGTCCAAACATGGTCCAGTGTGTTCAAACATGGTCCAGTGTGTTCAAACATGGTCCAGTGTGTCCAAACATGGTCCAGTGTGTCTAAACATGGTCCAGTGTGTCCAAACATGGTCCAGTGTGTTCAAACATGGTCCAGTGTGTTCAAACATGGTCCAGTGTGTCCAAATGCGGTTCATTAACAAGGTCCAGTATAATTTATCATGGTTCACTATGGTCCAACTGGTCCAACAGTGTCCATTATAATCTAAGATGGTCAAATACGTCCCAGCATCAAGTATCCTAAGATATACTGTAACGTGATCCAACATAGTATAGAATGCTCCGGTATACTTCAACATGATCCCTTATGGTCCAGAGTGCTCGAGTATACTCCAAGATGGTCCACTATAAACTAACAAGGTCCAGTATGGTCCAGAATGGTCCAGTAGGCGTCCCTCAAGGTGACAAGAGAGAGAGAGAGAGAGAGAGAGAGTAGAGTCGTACCTTGTGTGTTGAGCTGAAGTAACTTGAGGAGCTCGAATCATCTACTCTTATGGCTGGCGTCGGTGGAGGCGGCAAGTCCTTGATCGTCGTCTCGATATACCTTCGGTCTGTGTGTGTGTGTGTGTGAGTAGTGGTGCGGGTGTGGTGGATGGTGCGGGTTGTGGTAGGTGGTGCGGGTTGTGGTAGGTGGTGCGGGTTGTGGTGGGTGGTGCGGGTTGTGGTGGGTGATGTGAGTTGTGGTGGGTGGTGTGGGTGTGATGAGTGACGTGGGTGGGATGGTGTAGGCGTGGTGAGTGGTGTGGGCATGGAAGCATGGGCGTGGTGGTGGAGTGAGCGTGGTAGTGTGGGCGTGGCGTGGAGCACCAGGTAGGAATAAAAGTCAAAAGATTAGAAAACTTAATCATTTCTAAACATTTATTTTATCATAACCAAATGTCTTGAAATGGTGAGTTTAATTTTTATAACAATAAGAAAAAATACTTCCAGAATAAATTATATAAGGAAGAAGAATATATTTTTTGAGGAGAAAAGAAAAATAAGTACAGAGCCAAAGTTACCTTGTAGAGTGTAAGGTATACACAGGTACACTTATAAACGACGAAGAGACACTGTAACTGGAAACACTGTAGTTCTGAACGGGATGACGAGTTTCACAAATGATTTTTACACATAGGAGTGCTAAAGGGTACAAAAACCGTGAAAAAACTGTGAAATTATTATAAAAAGGCGGGGCGCTTAACTGAATGGTTGATTGATTAAATGTTGGTCCCTAACGGAAGTTAACCATTTGGGAGGAAACAAAAATTAATGCAGTGAAGATATTTAAGAAGTACAATGGAAACTCGGACAATTAGTTTCCTGGCGTTTGACGCCATCCGGAAGAAATTAATTTGAGTGTGGACACAGGTCGTTGATGTATAAAACAAAGCACAAAGCTTGCAAGAACGGTAAACTGGTAGAGTGTTAAACTGTCCGAACTGGTTTGGTAAGAGAGGTGAACTGTATTACCGCGTACAGGTTATTATTCGATTAAAAGAAGGAATAGAAAGTGCTGACACGACACTGGTGGTTGAGACTGAGGAAAGCTGGTGATGAAGCCCGTGGTATCCAGCACTAGTTCAAAGGATTTTGAAGTGACTTCAAATGACTAAGATAGTTTTCAGCTTTCTCTCGTTTGAGTGTAAGTAGTAGTTTATCTTCACTGTACATAACACACTCCGTGGGAAATAATGACATTACATTATAGCGAGAGTGCAATCTGCCATTGGTCATGTTACATGATTCTTGGCACGAGTCAGCACCCTTTAATTTATCTTACCTACACTGATGGTACGCTAACAATATAACTAACATCTCGTATCTACAATTGTTTTCTGCTATTACTAAATCACTAAAATACTGCTCAACTAAACTATTAAAAATTTTCATCATTCACTGCTACAAGATTTTGGCTTGTTAAAAAAAATTGGTTGCTGGTGCAACATTTCTTTTGCTACCAGAGCGATCGATGTTGGCGAAGGTTGCCGGCGGACACACAAGACACGACTGGTGTGCCTCCGTCAGTTGCCAGGGAGCTGTGTATCACCAGCTAATAGACTCCTGCTAGGTTACCACAGTATTAGAGATGACGACCACACCACACACACACACGACTTCCTCAATAAGACAATAAATATTGGAGGTAAGTTCGAAACACAATGCTTATCGGTGTTTTGGGCGTCAGGAAGTACGAAAATATTAAGTACAAATACGCGAGAAAAATAATGTAGGAATTACGTATTGGGAAAGCTAAGTGATTTCAGAAGAGAATTACCATACACTATACCAGTGTGTTATAATGTTTCTGTAATTCCTGCCACCACAAGCACCGACGTAGCATCTAGGAGCGACTACACAACACTCGCCAAAAAAGGGATTAGACTAACGGTACTTATTTAAAAAGCATTACCTTCACTTGACAGATTCTTAAGTAGGCGAGTCTGTTCTTCTGTTACCTCATTACCTTGGGTTTTAAGCAAGAAAGAAAAGAAAAGTTTATGTTAAAACAAGCAGGAGATAAAGGGTGTTAACTAAATTATACAAAGCGCCTCCATGATGGGTGACAAGAGGGCAGCAGTACCAACATGCTAGGCTGCTGCACGCTGCCTGGAGGGAAGGACCCACTCCGTTCTCTAGTATGGGCATTAGGTTAAGTTTCTGCAGTGTTGGTTTAGGACTGCGGAGAGTAACAGGATGTCCCCCCAAAAATATAGGCAGTTCACAAAAATAATCCCGTAAAAAAAGGTGTAGCTATATTGTGTATATTTAATGTTATGTGGATAGTTTATAACACAATGAAAACCAAATTAACGATTATTAATTGTCGTTAGAAGTGTGCGTGGCTTCGAAAAGACCACAAAAATATCATCCCGCTTTAAAAAGGTGGGCCAACATGAAATGCGAAACGAACGGAAAAAAAAGGATAAAATTTCGTAATGCTAAGTTTCTCACTTTAACAATGTTTAATATCGGTAAAGGGATGGATGTTTATGTTTGTTATAATCAACGTTGGTCCATGTGTGAATCATGAATAACCCCCATCAAAACTGGGTTATATCACAGTTCCTCTTATGGTACCAAGACACAGGCATCAGCGACCAGGCAGCCACGGACGGGCCAGCTGATGCCCTGGATGGAAACAAAGCGTTAGCCGTACACGCTACATAGCCAGCCTGGGGATCACAGTGTCTACGGCGCGCACTACGCAAAAGCAATTCATCCCTGGCTACAACCAGCTGGGAAGGTAACCATCTATCCTAGGATGTGTAGCGTCATACTGGGTGTATAATGTGTGGCCTAGGTGGTGTGTATGGTCAGACCAGGGTGGTGTATGACGAAAAAAAATGCTAAACCGTGAACTGAGCGATATGTAGCGTAAGAATGACAATACAGTACATATACAGGTGTACTGTAATATGTGACTTGGATGGTATAGATAATGAGACATAGTTTATTTTTGTGACCTTGGAGTTGAAATCCGTATTTTGGAATTTGGCGTCTCAGGGTAACTATACCCCACTTTCTGACTTACATTGCGATATAGAACATGAAAATGGACCAATGGTGTACTTATCAAGTCCTTATAATGACATGTACTTGTATCAATGAAGAAAATGCCAGGTTAAAGTTAATTATTGTGTACTGATGTTCGGGCTGTACACTACACTGGCTCACTATACCCCCCTCTCTCCGTCACCATACACACCCTTCTCCCCACAACACACTATACACCCCCGCTACCTCACACAGGTGGTTGTACCCGGGCCTTTGTACACACTGTGTCTCCGGCTTTACCTGAGAATTTCAGATTAGTCATCAACGTCTTCTGTTCCGGCGTCCGATCTCCGTGGCCTTTTAGAAGAAATCGAAAACCAGTTTACTGTCAGATATTATTGGGGATTGAAAGTAATCAGTGTCGTAGCCACTTGGTTAAGGTATTCAGTTGTAAAGCAAAATGTCATTAATAAAAGCTCTGAAAACAGTTATATTTTAAATCTTATTAATAAAGAAAACTGAACTTTTGAACGAGATTTATCAGAAAATAAGCTTCGTATTAATGCCAACTCGAAGCAAAAGGGTAGATTGCGAATGGTTCTTGGTGAATGAGCTTCTAGACCAGGGTGTTAGCTTAGCTGTCCCTGTCGGCACAACCAAAGAGAATGCAGAGAAGCGCACACTACTCGAGCTATGATATTCAAGTTGACGACTCAGCATAAAATGCGATAAAGTCCGTCAGGCGGTAAATAAAGATGAAGATGGAAGAGAAGTGGTGTGAGACGCGGAGTTAATTGTTGAGACTTGCGGAAGACTTGCGCAGAGTGAAGCCAAGTATACAACTGCTCTACGCTCTTTTTGTGGCCAAAATACAGTAACACAGAGAGACACTATGTGATTAAAGTACTGAGAAGAGACTTGTTACTGTACATTAACTGCAATAAATTCTACAACTACATAAATATTCTGAAACATAAGTTAAGATCAATGTCCTCCGTTACAATGAGGAAATTCACAGGATGAGTGTCAGGGAGCTTCATAAGATAATACAGAATATAGATGAAATGTTTACCCCAATTAACCTAACTTGATATCATTAACCTAACTTGATATCATTGCTCAAATTTGATGTATTCATAATATGGTGACCATATTTGAGAATGTGAACTGTTTTAATATGAAGCAGAGATGACGGAGGCTCACTCGGTGGGTGGGTACATACCTTCAACAATAACAACACAGGAAGTCTCGTCAGTGCCCAGGTGGTTGGTGGCGACACATCTGTATTTGCCAGAGTCGGAGGGCTTGCAGTTGACGATCTCAATAGTGACCACACCGTCGGCGTGGCTCATGGAATAATCGAACTTTGTGAGCTCCTGTGTTCCCTTGAACCACTTAACGGTGGGCGTGGGCTTGCCGGCGAGACAGCAGAGGAGCTTGCAGGTCTGGTGGCACTGGATCACACGAGGACGGAGCAGGAAGGTGAAGCTTGGGGCTCCCTCACCCTCCTCCTGCCACAACTTGTAGTTGAGCGGCTGTCGGCGACGGACGATCTGTTCCTGTGGTCTGTACTGAGGAACCTCCGGAGGCAGAGCTGCGACACACACACACACAAGCTCTAGTTACTTCATTTCTGATCATAGGAATACCTTAACTAAATTTATCATATGAATAAAAAAAATCAATATTTTATCCCATTAGAACTTTGTCCTGACGCCTCAAAAACTTAGTTCTCAAACATGGAAACTCACAGCACCACAACGAGGCTCTCAAGTACTGTAACACCATCTATCAAACTTAACATGACTCTTAAAGTATGATAACACCATATTAGATAATATAAGTTGATTCCTGTGTTTCAAACTGGAGGGTGTGGTGAGAATATGGCCTAACAAAGGGAGAGGAAGTAAACACAGTCGCTAAATTGGAGCCCTGGTGAGGAACCTAAGAATATGGCCTTGGTAACATACAGTATAACAGGGATTTAAGAAAACATATTAGGAGACTCACGCTGGACGTTGAGGAAGACGGGCTCCTCCCTGGCGCCATAGTGGTTCTCGGCCCTGATGATGTACTCGCCCCGGTCGCTTAACTTGACACGGTTGATGACGAAGGAGTAGTCCTCTCCCGAGTACCTCTTCATATACTTGACAGACTGTCGGAGCTCCATGTTGTTGTGGAACCAGCAGACAGTGGGGGCCGCCACAGCCACAATGCGGCATGAGAACTTGACGCTCTGGCCCTCGTAGGTGAAGGCGTTCTGCGGCCGGATAACAAACCTTGGTGCACACTGTCGCCGGTCTGTTGAGATACCGCAGTATTAACTTATGTCCGACAGAGATAGATTAATACATGAGGAACAAAGAAGTGTTGGTCGTGTCAGATAGGGTACAATGTGATAACAGGTTCTTACGAAGTTGTTTATGCAAATTACCAAATATTGCAGTGAAAGTTGTTACAGATGAATACCTTAATTACTTCACTGATATAAAGAGTCTCTACTGTGTTAACTCGAAGTAATCCTACTGACTACCAGTTAATAACAACACATAAAACACCCTGAAGTTGATGCACACTAGGAAAATATCCTGATTTAATCCACGACTTTGTGTAAGTTGTGAGATTAGCATAAATAGTTGGGAGATGAGGGTAAGAGACCCGCCATGGAGGAGGAGGAACTTACCGAAATGCGTGTCGTGTATCCTGTATTTTTCCAGCTGTAGTTTTCTGAGTGAGGAATATTCCGCAAGGCGACCAATGGGCAGGAGGAACTTCTCCCATTCCTTGTACTTGGCACGGATTTTATCGCGGATGGGAATGTAACGCATCATATCGATGGGCTCCAGGCGGGGAGAGTAGTCACCGCGCAGCCACGCGTGCACCAGGCACTCGTGTGCGGTCATGCGCTTCCTGTGGGAGGTACCAGAAGGTTAATTGGGAGGCTTGGGCCAGGGATGTAGTGTCGGAGAGTGCGGGTGAGGCTTTACTGGGCGCTACATGCTGGGGATCTCCGAGAAGACGCAGGGAAATGTTGCATAGTTTGGCAGAACAGAAGAAAGCGTCAAGTTGAAAGATAAACAGTAATTGGCCAGTACACTGTTGAAAAGGTCCTGGGAGGTAGACCAAGAACTTCAACTAAGCTTAAACAAGAGTTATATGTTTGTCAATACAAAAGTTAATGAAATAGCTTGGACATATGATCCAGCCAGTAAAAGACGCCAGTAATTTAAGTCACCATCCGAAGAAATACTTACTCCTTGTTCTTAATGAGGAGACGGCGGATGAAGTCCTTGGCTTCGTTGGACACATTGCTGAAGGCTTCCTCATCGAAGTCCCAGTCGCAGGCCTTCACATTCTTGAGAGTGTCTATGTCATTCTCACCAGCGAAGGGTGATAGACCACTGAGGAGGACATAGGCGAGGACACCCACGGCCCACATGTCGGTGTAGAAGCCGACGGGTTCCCTCTCTACGATCTCTGGCGCTGCGAACTCGGCCGTGCCTGTCGAGATCTTCACCACTTCGTTTGGATCCAGCTTAGTCGCCAGGCCGAAGTCGATGAGCTTGACATTGGTAGAAGTCTTAGTCTGGCACATGATGTTTTCTGGCTTGACGTCTGCAGGGAAGAGAGCAGGGGGACGTCACTATAAGCGACCTCGCTCCCTCTATGTAAAACATCATCGCCAAACCACTGAATGACACAGACTAGGGGGTGAGGGGAAACTGACATGGTTTACTCTGGCTCACAACTCGTCAATTACCTGAATGTACGCTAGGGTCCTTCACTCCCACACGACTCAAGAACATATTTATTCATCGATATTGTACAACGTTGGAGTATGACAGACTTCTTTTTTAACTCGAACTGAGAAATTATAAATTAGTGAGTAAATAAAATCAAAATTAGTGATAAATTTTAAGATGTTAACAACAAATCAATATATCTTATCTTGTTATCATAAAAGTTTGTGTCGAACACAGAAAACCTCATTAGCAATGTCGAGGTAGGGAACGAACTTGCAAACAGCGATCACAAAGAAATTAGATTCCAGTTAGATTTTCAGGGCAGACGTAAGG